AGCAATATCGCTCAGGGTAGGAAGTGATGTTTAAAACAGAGACACTTGTCCTTACATGGTGTCATTGAAAGAACATTTGAAATTTGAAAGAAAAAATGAATCATACTGCGGGATAAGCCGACATATCTATTTCCTAAACAAGTGTAGATTGTAGTCGTCATAATGACTTTTCACAACTATATTCACTGACATCATTCTCGCAGCAACATTGACTTCAATGGGGCTAATAAAGATCATTCGCATGCACCTGTTGAAGCATATGAATATCGCTTAAGACAAACATTATCATATGCTAAAAGTGAATTGTCTAAGATTTACACCAAGGATAGGAAAGTTGCATGAGATATGATAGAGTTGAGAGAGCGAATTATTGATGCTATTGTTGGCGGATGAATTGAGCAATTGCATTTTTTTGTTGCTACTTTATTTGTAATGTCTTGTGAAAATGTTTATTATTTATTGTATTGATATTGCATGCAATGATCTATATTTTGAATCTCAATTTTATTTCCAGTTCTTCTGCATGTATTTTTTCCCACTTGGATCACCGATGAGGCAATCGTGGATATAATATGTACTCTAAATTTTTATTACATGTTTGATTTTTTATTTTTGAGGTCTATGATGAGATATTCGACCCTAAAGATTCTTCTAGATGACTTATATGTTATTATTGATTTTTGATACATGTGAAATCTCAATGAAGACAACTAATTCCTTTTCTTTTTCAGTGTTATGGTTTTTTAGATTCTTCTGAATGATTTTTTTAGTGATATGCATATGTAACACATACGAGATCGATATGACGTTTAAAAACAACTAAGAACCATTTTTTTATAAGGTCTGTTGTCTTCCTGTATTGATAGATTTGTTGGTTTATATTATGTTTTCTAAGACCTTACAGTTTCATAAAACTTTAGTTAATTACTTTTACCATTCTTTTCACTAATCTTGCATTTAAGGGTTTGTGCTTTGTTATTTTAAACCTTAAAAAAAGATGAGCTCAAGTGCTTTCGGTACCTCCAGAGCATTGTACTAATTTTGTAGACTATAAATGTTCTTTGGTTACTTCACAACAGCCACATAGTTACGGGATAAAGTTTTACAAATGTCTGAGAAGAAAAAAAAGTTGTGACTTCTTTAGGTGGGCGGATGGGTTGGATGATTTCAGCAATAGTGATCAAATGTGGAGAGTTTTTTTGGAGGACGGATTATCTCGTTACATTAACTAAGTACAATTTAAAAATAATATTATCATATTATTAATTGTTATTTTAATAGTCTTTTTCTTAAAAAAAATTTTGAATGTAGTGTTATTGTTTAATGAGGTGTCTGTTTTTATTTTGTAATATTCGAATTGGATGTTTCTTTCAAGTATGAAATATACTAGCAAGATTAGTTTTTTTATAAACAATACTATACTACAAGAGCAAAAACAAACATTCATTGAGAAACAATAGTAGCACAGTTGTTGCTAAACTGCAAAAAACAAATAGACAGTCAGCTC